CCCTAGGAAAGCAACGGTCAGCGAAACGATAAGTGAGAAAGATGGCCCATTAATTCACTCGCAACAACGTCGACTGGAGAGATGGGCCGAACACTTCGAAGAGCAGTTCAGCTGGCCTCCTGCAACACAGCCGGTGGAGATAATACACACGGGCGAATGGAATGTAAACCTTGATCGCCCTCCGGAAGACGAAATAAGGTACGAAATAACCGTACTGAAACGTGAGAAGGCACCAGGACCGGACGGTCTGTATCCAGCCCTCTTCAAAGAAGGCGGAAATCCCCTGGTGACCCACCTGACAAAGCTTATTGGTACTATGTGAGACGAAGAGAAAGTGCCTGCAAAATGGGGCATGTCGACAGTTATCCCTATCTTCGAAAAGGGTACGCGGATGCTATGTAAAAGCCACCGTGGCATCGAAGGTGCTCTCAGGCCTTATCCTTCGAAGGTTGACTGAACACAGGGAGAGGCAGATCCGTGAAAACCAAGCTGGGTTCCGTCCTGCAAGAGGTTGCATCGATCATATATTCACCCTCCGACAGATTCTGGAACAGCGACACTGCTTCCAGCAACCACCAATAATTGTCACTAACGGCTGGTGATTTAAGTTCCGGGGTCCCAATCCAGGGAGGCGGCAGTTGCTCACCCGACTAAGTTTACTGGCTAGTGATTTCGTACTTCGGTGATGATTGATATCCAAAAGCGTTCACTGGTTCAGGGTACCAACTACAGATTTTCTGCGGAAGCGTACAGAGTAAGGGTATAAACTTTAGGTGTGCGATCATTATGATGAGACTGGATCCCGTCGTATTGAGACTTGTGTACCTCAGTGATGCACGGAACCATACTGGAGGCCGATGCGACTTTCATCAGGTTGATAAGCAGTCTCCTGGTCCTCAAGGTTGGAACACGTATGGCACTTTGTTCCTCAAAATCTGAACTACTCCAGCAGCTCCGCGCCGACTACCGCTCCTTCGCGGACAGGCTCTTGAGCCAAAGGCTCTAATCATTCTCCTACCCGGGTTCGGGCACCTTTGCAGTACACCAGCTTGCATACACCCATTAGATCTACAAACAGAAGTACGTTGATGCCATATCAGTCGGGTTGCCTTTTTTGCTGCAAACAAGGCGGGCAAGCGAAAACACGCGAATATTGATGTTTTTCCGCTCTTCATTGTTATCCTTCGGCTCTCCTTCTATTCTGCTTGATAGTTGCTCTTCCGTAAGTCCCCATCAGGTGCCTGAGGAATAGACATAGTGAACGCTATCGTTCGCATCTATCGCTTTGCGTCAGCTTTTCAGACCTTGTTTTTCTGTCTGTATTGCAACTTGTAACGTGCGAGCTCTTTAACAGGCCGGCCAAAAACTGGTTCTACGCGTCGTTCAGATGCATTACGGTTCGACATCTGCTGCATTTCTGAAACCAGAGTGCAATATCCAAGTATACTTATTAAACTTAAAGCGTCTTCTCTGTTTAGACCTTATTGACTACGAATACCGGGTGTTTCTGCAGTTGCTGTTGCAGATAGCGCCTTCATTTCGTAGGTTGAGGATGCATTATTAGGCCAAATCACTGCAAACAACCGATTGTGTGCTACCGACTTTCCAGTTCTATAAAAATCCAAAATGATCGAAATGCTGAGGTTTTTGTCGTGCCCATCTATACGCTAAGTAACTGTACTTCTGATCCAACGAGAGGCAACCACACCCGCCATAACAGCAGGAGATTTGATTGCACAGCACCTCACTTCATCAGAAGCACGGGTGGTAAACTTTGTACTGAAAACCAGTTTGTTCTTAGCGGCATTGGGTTTAACGTAGTGGGTGCCGTTGTGCTACTTGACGTCAGTTTGCTGTTAGGCAGTCACAAAGCCAAAGCGACCAGGTAACGATTCTTGACTGTCAGTCATCTTAGGACACAAGTTGGTTAAGGTCACGCCTTCGTTTAGTGTACATTTGCATTAAACTTCCTCAAAAAACCCCAGAAACGAGCCTCTTATTCAGCAGCAGAACGGTTTTGTGAGCCACAAGTCATGGGAATAGACTGAATGCATTAAAAGTGTTCTAATTAGAGAACAGTGAACGTAACCGAGATGGGATGACACTTATAGGTGACGCTGGAAACCGTATCTGAAATGCTTCCGAGCACGTACACGGAAATCACTCGTTTCCATAACGCCCACTGACATCTTTTGATGAGGTCAGGGTATAAATCGACTGGAGAGTCGATTAGAGGAGGGCTCAAACATAGTGTGCGTGAATAGAGGCGTGGCGCACCAAAGCGAAAAGAGTGGACGAGACCAGAACGATTGGGAATACAAATAACTTGTTGAGGTTAACATGAAAACAGGACCGGTCGCTGGGTCAGACAAGCTTCCTAGCGCTACTCAAAAATGGAGGAGAACCTTTATGTTCTGACTAAGGCAAGTTACTCGTGTGTCTAGGAGCGGGAACGTGGTCCAGATACGGGTTAATTAATGGCCGTACGCATGTTCCAAACCGGACGGTCCAGCCGCTTAGGCATTTAATCTCCGCGCCCGTAGTAACACGAATAGTGGCCCCCCTTAGATTGCGACACCTAACTTCGGGGCGTAGAACGCAAGTCGGAGAACCTGGTAAGAGATGCACTGACCATAAGTTTACATTACAGCAGTTGTTTCAGCAGCGCAACGCATATCGCGGACAAAAAAATGCTACTTTCTCTGACTTCAGTGAAGCCGTCGACAGTGGGGATACAGTGGCCCCACAAATTATGTGCCTGTGGGTGTACCCTTGAAGTTTGTAAACATTCATTGCACTGTTTATTCCCTCACTATCACTTGAGCCAGGGCATACAGCGGAAGACTAATAGAAACCTGTGGAATCCACCAGGGTCGCACCTCTCTCCTTTGTGCTGATTCCAAGGGACCACAGATCTAGGTGTCCAAATTACATCCGAAGAGAGATTTACGGTCCTGGAGTATGCCGACGTCATCGTCTTGCAGTTTGAATTTCATCTATCCAAAAATGTATACTTACTTACGCCATTTATCGCTTCAGAAAAACTTTCGGTGATACTAAAAGAACATGTAGACAAGGCAGCTGTGACAGTGGTCTCACTTTGTGGTCGCGAAACAGCCCGTTCCATCCAAGGAACATAGGCGCCTTCAGATGTCTTATCACCGGCGTATCACTGACAAGTTAAGAGTTAGATGACTGCAACGTGTACGCAAGAAATGGTGCCTAAGCAGGTGATTGGCTACTAGTCAGAATAATCAGAGCATCAGATTAATCCTACTAGTCTAAAGTGGTTGGGGCACATGTTAAGTATGCCCAACCAGGGTCTCACCAAAAAGTGTTATTTTCTCCGATAAACCCTTTCTGGAGATTTCGCACGGAACAAGCTGATACAGCAGCGTGAAATAAAAACACACGTTAGAATTGAGTGCTGTGAGATATTTGTGGCTTCTTGGCTGGGGCCTATGTATTCCTGCTCGAGAGTGGCTGGAAACCCTGTGTGAAATCGCACGCAACCGATTCTGGATATACGCATGCTATAGTTTCCTGAGTGAGTTGTCCACCTAAAATTAACCTGTCGTTTTATGCTGAATTTAATTTGGCGGAGGACGCGGGGTCAATCGCACTAATGAAATTTGACTTCCAAATGGTGCCCAGATGTTCCTTTAAACGTTATGCAATGGGTTTAGGCTGTTTGATTTTAGCCGTTTCCCACAAAGACACAGGGCTTGTCTACTCTAAATTCACACCCGACCTGTTTATTTCCGTTCTTTGTTAAAGCCTTCCTTCTCTATGGTCGCAAGCCAATTAAGCGCCAGCATGCATTACTAATGTATCCTTGTCAAAAATAGGTATATGTCCCTGTTTGGTCAAGCGGCTGGTTTTTTCAAACAAGTTGCAAGACGACCGGCTGCCGAACTGAGTTTGGAGTGTTCAAAACAGCTACTGCTTTTTGGGGAACATGTCCGATGAAGTTAAGCGGCTTAAAGTAACCACGTGGGTAAAATTCACGAAACATGAATAAATATGTCTGCCATAAATGTAAATCTCTAGCCGCTTATTGTAATGGTTCGGGTGGCAGACACAATAGTTACATCTGGCAAGACGGCCAACAGTGATTCAGGCACTTGGCATTCTGGGAATGCCCAGTGCCTTCCGTAGATCCTAGTCCTTTACACTGCACATCACAGTATTTCAAGTCTCGAAGAACCTACGGACCAAGATAGGGTAGTCAATGAAGGGGAAATTGTGTCAACTAATGAATGCTATACCACAAGGGTGACCTCGTTAGGTCGCATTCAAACAGGAAGAACCAGAATAAAAAGGCTAGTCCTCTCTTGGGCATGTCAAGAGACGAACTACATTAGTTATCGATAGTAACATGGAAAGACATATGAAGGGATATGAACATGTTGGATAGTATGACTCGGGCAACCCACCTAATAGAGCCGGACAGCTTTTCATTACCGGTCACTCTGGAGCCCTGAACTCACAAACACATGGAAAACGCCATTGACTGTTCTTACTGAGTTCTTCTGGTTGAAGGCGTACCGATGTAATAACACAACGCTCCAAGTCACCATCGGAAGTCAAATCAGGCGCAATCATTCCAATACTCAATGTAGTGCTACTGCACATGCATTGCACTACACATGATCATACATAGGTCTGAATGGCTGACTATCTCGTACTGGATAGAGGGTACCAGATAATCCGTCAGGTGGATTACCTCATTTGGGGTCCGGGCTTCATGTGCAAATGGTTGGCATAAACCGACATACAAGCAAGTCCATAAACATTCGTCTGAGAAACTCACCTGCCAATAACTATTTCCATCGATGGCATCTTTTACACCGGTAACTGACTGCTGTCCACTACCGCTGCCATACTGAACTTCATGGGAATGCAGACGGATGCCGAGATCCGGGTGAACCAGTTTAAAAACGGACCCGCATGTGACCTGCTTTTCTGATGCATCAGACACTTTTAAAAACTAAGATGAAATAACGAGTAAACCAACCTGCTATTATGGCAACAACCACGAGGAGTTGAAAAAGACTCCACATAACGAACCACACTAAGCGGCCACCTCGACACACGAAAAGAGCACACCCGGGTTACTGAATTCTTATTGGTTCAAAGGTTCAAGGGTAAAAATTGCAAGTGGCCTGTCATTCGCGCATCTCATGATTTAGGGACAGTTCTCGTGCATGTTTCAGTAGGCTGATCGACATTCCGAGCCTTTTTCGAAACAAAAAAATGAGCACCACGTTATTCTCGACTGCAGGCTGCAGAATTTGTGAGCATCTGGATTTACTTGTAGAGCTGATCACTGTTGATCTGGTAATAGGAAGGCTAATAGCATGCAACTGTATCATTTATTCTTTCAGGTAAGCCGTTAGACCTGGGTAGAAGGGCGGGAATGACGCTTTATTACCATATTCAACTATAACCCCTAAGTACTTTATTTGAAGGATGCTGGAAAGCAGCTATTTTCGGACCGCTTTTGTATTTGTGCACTGAAAAAGTCAGAAAACGTAATCATCTTTGTTGTTCCGGCGGACGGAAGGCTTATTTTTAAAAAAATGCCTGGGAATAACAGGCTGAAGCCGAACCAATCAAGAATCGAGTAATGCCCAAAATAGGCAGGCAAGCTAAGTTGCTCACTTATTCAAAATGCGCGGTTCGACGTGTCTTGAAGGTGGCGACTATTTTCACTTGCCGCTCAAGGTCACTTCAACCAAAAAACGGAGAATTGAGGAATGTTCTATAACAGGAGTCATTCTGCGGCTTCGTGATATTGCAGCTCAAGAAAACTTTTGAAGTTGGTTTCACTTTTTCCTGCACAGAACGTTTGCCAGTCCTCCCTATCTCCGCATCCGTTTTTGTACATGGATCTGCTCCCACAACTACAGGCTTCCACGTCTTAGACTCTTCTCGCTATCATCAGCCAATTTCGAAATTCTCAACACCCAAGTATGCCTAGAGGCGACCCGGTTTTGTTCGTTTTAGTCAACCATATCCGAGGACGAAATCAGGCGTAAAATTACAAACTAATTTGAAGTGCTTGTCCTGATGGCAGTAATTTTCGATGCCACATGAAAACCCATTTTTGCGGCATATCATCTTCGTTTAAACTATTTTTAGCTAGGTGGCATGGAAATTTATGTGGTCATACCCCACTCGCCCAACATTTTAATGGCATTTTCCAACCAAAAAACACAACTACAGAATATCTTACGCCTCCCCCGAATGCAATAAAGATATACAACTACATAAAAGAAACTACCCGCAAGGTTGCTGAGAACTCTTCGACAGCCCACGACGGGTTTCGCCCTTCTTGGGGCTCACCGGGTAGGCGCATTCCCCGAGTTTCCGTCAACCGGTGACATCCGTGTGTATTGAACACCTTTTGTGAAATGTAGTTGGATATCGAGAAATACACTCATTTGCAAATCAATTTGGTTTTCACGGAAGACTCAGTTGAATCTTTCGTTTATAATGTCCTCCAGCTAAATGGTCGTGGGCTGTCGAAGAATTTTCGGCAACCTTGTGAGTAGTTTTCTTTATGAAACTATACTGCGATATCTCGAATATCGTGCCAACTGAAACATGAGGCGGTCTGTGTGCAGCACATTCAGCTGGAGGACATCATAAACGAGAGATTTAATTGAGTCTCCCGTGAAAACCAAATTGATTTGCAAATGAGTGTATTTCTCGATATCCAACTACATTTCACAAAAGGTGTTCAATACACACGGATGTCACCGAAATCTCACTGACCTAGTACAAAAATTGGTGCAAATTTTTCATCATCTATGGAAAGTTGCACCTACCGAGGAGATATTCTGGCGTTCACGATAGGGTCTTTGGTTTTGTCCCTTGTAAACTACGAGTGGCTTCAGATTTCAAAAATATTGACTTTAACAAACAAATCCAAAGTCGCCGACGTCTTTTAGGTTTTCATCTAATCACAGAAGCTGCCTAACCGTACATCTTACTTGAGTTACCGATCGTCACATTCATCGCTGGACGCTTCGGCATGTGGAACATGTGTAACTCACAAACCTAGATGGATGTCATTTGACCAAATCTCCTCGGACTACTATAAGACAATAATCACCTCAGAAAGAGGATAATTTCACTGGATTGTTAAACCTCCTTATGTGAAGTCGTCGCTCGACGGGCCAGTCAATACGTGACCACGTAATGTGGTTTTCTGTAGGATGAGAGGTGGCGCTCCTAATGATAGCTAATCATGCTGCTGATCAGCCACTCTTGGCCAAACGGTTAAGTATTTAACCGCTGGCCGCACGGTTGAGGGTTCTAAACGCTGAGTTTCGCGCGCTGGCGATGATTCTCAACAAGGATGAAACAGCTGTACAGTGCTTCTCGGTTTTCTAGCACAGATTGGCTGCACTGAGAAGATGAAATATCTGCTGTATATGACTACACCTCGTAAGGTCACCATTGAAGTTATCTATTGTGCTTTTTGTCTAGAAAACAAAGTGTTTGGCAGTCGAACAACCTGTTTCTCGGCAGAACACTGCAGGCCAAATATCCACGTGAGGCCCAGTTTAGAAACCCTTTAAAAAAAACTCGAAGGTTTTCATTTCAATTTGGGAAGTTAGAACTTCTCCTCAATACTATCGTGAGGCTGATGGGACTCGGTCGTAGTGGCCACACCAGGGAGATGTCCCAATTCAGCTTAAAACCTACTGAAGCATATGGTCGTTGGAATGTCCGTTGAGCTGGACAATTTGATTGCAAACGTTCTATCACCAACTGAGGTGACATCATCAGTGAGTTTTTGAGGTGCATAGTGGTGCGTAGCAATGGGTTTGTTGTTGGAGTATTATACGTTGCCACCCGTTTGTTTGGACTTTGATAATTCCAAAGATATACGGCTGTATTTAGGGATTGATGCTAATGAGAAGAGTCACACAAGTAACACTATTCTACAATTAAGTGAATCGCATGCCAGCTAGTGGTAAGCCAGTAGCACGCCTCATTATGCTGGAGTATTTGAGGCCTTAATTTCAACCGAATCGACCATCTGACTGGAAAAAAGCTATACAATACAAATGAGGTTTGTGTGGTTGAAAACTAAACGTCACTGATAGTGACGATGACAGCTTTCCACTCTACTTCAGTTACTGCTATTTTTGGTAGACGGAAAGCAACTTGAGATGGTGTGAATCAAAATGTAACCGCTAACAATTTCGAGCGAAGAGGTGATATTCGTTGGTTTACCGGGAAACAACACCAATCAAACCTTTATGAGCAGAAGCCCTTACCAGATGCAATCCAATTTGAAGCTCCATGAGTGGCCTAGTAAACATTAGAATGTGATAGTCAATACATTGATTATGAGTTTTTGTTCAGCCAAATGAAAAGTACAGTTAAAGTTGGCGCGGTATAGCCATCCTTCCTGGCTTTTAGTACATTTTGACCTGATTAACTTCACTGATTCTGTCATGTTCACTCGCTTAGTCTGGGTGTAATGGCTCATAAGCGGTGCGTACACCGGATGAGGGTAAAATCTGCGTCTTATGAACGACTTGAACAGCTAATTCCCAACCCGATCGCGCACTAATGTTACCTCGTTTGGTGACGAAATGCTTGCGAGTTAACTACCAAGTTCGATAAACACATCAACAACCAGCTGATAAATAACCGACAAAATTGTGTTCTTAAAATATTTACTGCGCCCCGATTTTCCCGCAGATGTTATCAAAGTAACGAGATATCAAACAGTGCTGTCTTTCATAAGTGGTTCTCCATCAAATCACAACATATATGTATCATATATACGCGTGTATAAGCACATTAAACTAAAAATATAGCGAATAAAGGAATGTTCTTTGGCAGTAATTTGTGTAGCATTAATTAGTAGAAGTAAAAGAAAAGAGGTCAACCTTTGCAGATTACGGGGTCTATTTTGGCTGGAAACTGATTTTTGCCAGCTGAGCTTCAGTGTCCGTTAAAATAGTTCTCCAACTTTCGACAAATCATCTCCGTAGTGAATTCGAAAGAGAAGGAAAGGTTCATACGCCATTGGTTTTCGGTCGTGGTAAAAATGCTAGTGAATACACAGCGGTCTGAGCTCAAAATTACTGCAGAACACGTTGTCATAAGATGTTTTGCCTAGTGTTTCTAGCAAACGTCTGTCAAACTGGATCACTCTTATAATACTCTAATAACCGCACATATCCTCTACTGTGTTCATCTAAGTGGGCCCATAATCACGTGCATGGGCCGTTGAAACACAACAACTGGAATGCACACGCTAGCTGAACTGATGATTGCCTAGAATAGGCTGATACGATGCGACTGACTGTACGTTCCATAGATGCACACAAAGTGCCCAGGTGGTGGTTGCTTTCAGTTTTCGATTAAGTATTAGTCCTATCTGAAATTTGTGCTTTGGTTTTCTCATTTAATTCAGAACCAGCTTTATAAAAAAACTATTGTATATCCATTCTTCGTTCAGGGTCCTCGTTTAATATTACGCACGATTTTAGAAACAGATGGCCTTGGTGCGACATGCTACCCGTAAGTTCGCTTGGATCCCCTCGACAGTCCACTGCCAGCTTCGTCCGTCTTGGAATCACCAGCTAGGCGACCACCTGAGTTTCCATCAAACTTATGTTCCATTTAAGCATAAAATTGCACGCAGTTGGTGTAATACACTCGTTTACAACAACAGATATGCTCCGATATCACGAATATCATGCCGCGTTAAACATTAGACGGTTTTTTCATCAAATTTACTTGATTTACTCAGTACTTTGTCAATCCATATGAAAGTCGCGAATGCGAATATTCCACCAAACGGTCACAGTTATCACGCACTTCTAAACTGAAGTCGAGTTTCATCAGTTTTCTTTGTGTATGCACATCAATGTCTAGTTTACTGAATAGTATGTAGAATGCTTAGAAAGTATAATCCTAAACATCTATTTCGTGAACAAATTAGCAAGTGCGGATCACAATACCCAAGTTGGAAAGACCATAGCCGACATTTGTACCACTACCTTTGTGCTCATGCGGATGGCTAGGTTAT